GGCGCCCCGGAAGCCTTGGTTTTTGACTCTGTCCACAATGCCTCCCAGGTCTCTCCCCACCTCCTCCCACACCTCCCCCTTCCTCCCCGCAAGGACCCCTGGAGACCTTCCTTACATTTTACCCTAGTCCTCAAGCCCCTCCCTCCATCCCCCCTCTTCAGCCTGACTCTGGAAACCTACAGTTCTTTCTACTTAGACAGGGAGGCGATTCACCTTTCGCCCCCAAGGGCATTTTCCTAAACAAAGAGAAACCTACAGGGAAATTACAGTTTGCCTACAAGGCAGTTGTGATATATATATATATCACAACATATATATATAAATATAAAGTTTCCAGATGTCAGCTGGGATCTCCCTGCCTGTTAGAATCCATATAAAACCCCATTTTCCAATCGTGGGATCTTGACTGCCCTCCCCCAGATTTCTGCTCGTCTCCAGAGCTTCAAATTCTTTGCCTCCCCCCTCCCCCAAGTGTTTGCTTTGGCTGGAATCTGTTCGGGGGGCGGGAGGGGATCTGCTGTCCGTCTCTCCACTTGGGGTCTGCGGACTAATTCTGCCCTTTTCTTTCATTTCTCTGCACGTACAGAGGCAGGTACACAAGGCATTGATGTGCTCATGTGTGAGGATGTAGAGAGGGCTTTACCGGAGATTTGACTCAGTTGGTTAAGCATCAGACTCTTGCTTTTGGTTCAGGCCATGATCTTGTGGTTCACGGGTCCGGGCCCCCACGACGGGCTCCATGCTGACAGCACGGAGCCTGCTTGGGATTCTCTCTCTTTCCCTTTCTCTCTGCTCCTCCCACGCTCGCTCGCTCGCTCTCTCAAAGTAAATCAACATTTCAAACATTTATTTTAAATAATAAATTAATGTGGAAGGGCACCCGGGTGGCTCAGTCGGCTGAGCGTCAAGGCTCTTGATTTCAGTTCAGGTCGTGATCCCAGGGTCGTGGGATCAAGCCCCGAGTCCAGCTCGGCACGGAGCACAGAGCCTGCTTAAGATTCTCTCTCTCTCCCTCTGGCCCTCTCCCCCGCGTGCACTCTCTCTTTCTAAAATAAATTTTAAAAAATTAACATGGAGTTATGCTCTATATGGGCCTCTATGACTCTTTTCTTTTTTTTCTTTTCTTCTTCACGGATATGCCCTGGACATCTTCATGTCAGATCATAGGCCTAGATCTTGTTTCATCGAATAGTGACACAGCGTGGACTTCTTTATCCACTGATCCATGCGATCCACAAATATTTACAGCCCCTGTGGGTGTGCCAGGAACTGTGCTGAGTCACAGCTTGGAATGTGTCCCAGCTGGGGCTCACAGTCTCCGAGGAGAGGCTGGGGTTCATCGGATAATCACAGAAGTACGCGGAGGGCTGCAGTTGCGAAGGAGGGGACGCGGGGCGCGTGCGCCATCGGGTATTCATCCGTGAGGGGGAATTCTCTCTCCCTGCTTGTCTTCGTCTCAAGGTTTAGAAACTGGGGGCCTACCGGGAGGAGGCACGCCAAGTAAGTAAGGTGCGCATCTGGGCCTGCGGTTCCCATCTGAGTAATGGAGATAAGTTTCCACCTCGCAGGAGCGCTGAGAGCCTTGAACGTGTTATTACCGCCGATGGCACGGCGCCCGGCACGATACAAGCGATCGTTAGCGTTATTATGATTTGCAGGAGTCCCCTGTCTGAGCCTCAGCCCTCTGTAGAATGGAGGAGTATCCAGAACCTTCTCTGGAGGGCTGCGGTGAAGGCTGAACATAACGTTCTCCAGCACTTTCTTTGCACCAAGCCATCAACTTACCTTTGCGGCAACCGTGGAAGGGAGGTATTGATGTTGTCCCCACTTTGCAGCTCCAAACGGAGGCACCGAGAGGTGCGGTGGCTTGCTCTGGAGTTCACCACCAGTCAGGATGTGGGGCAGTTGGAGGCTGTTAGGGGTGAGAGGGGGTTCCGGGAGGGCCGTGAGAGCATCTGGGTGGGACTGACCCTGCCTTTCATGCCCCCTGCCCACCCCCTCCCCAGGAAGCTGGACGCTTTCATCTATGATGCGGCTGTGCTCAACTACATGGCCCGCAAGGATGAAGGCTGCAAGCTGGTCACCATCGGCTCGGGCAAGGTCTTTGCCACGACGGGCTACGGCATCGCCCTGCACAAGGGCTCCCGCTGGAAGCGCCCGATCGACCTGGCTCTGTTGCAGTTCCTGGGGGACGGTGCGGCTGCGCACAGGGATGCCTCGGGGGTGGGGCGTGGGG